GAAATCTAATTGATTTATACTAGCTCGTAAAAACTATATTGGATATAGGAACCCGTTCTGACTGCTTGTACTAAAATTTTGCAGGCAGAATAACGAACATGTTGAAAAATGTTTACAAGCAGGTCTATCGGGAAAATTTATAACAGCAAGTAGACTTAGCAGAGTCTGGCAGGGTGGTTTCAGCAAATTAAGAACCACAGAATGGATGTTATACGATTGTGCATAAAGCTAAGCGGTTGTTTCCGCAAGTAATGCAAAACAATTTACACAATTTTACTCTCTTTTTAAAGTTTTGTGCTGTTATAAAAGAACTGTCCGTGATCTCTCACATGCTGCAGACAACGAGACGACATTAGAGCCAACAGCTTGAACAGTCCTAGCTGGTAGTACGAGGTAAAATTCAAACTGAATTGGAATATAAGAACTGAAGGACTGCATGCGCAGTTAAAAATGTTGTTAGTGCTATGTGACGAGAAAGATCGAGGGAATTAGTGGAGGAGAAAACGGCTGCAGCCACAAACAAAGCCAAACAAAGCCAATGTGCGTCGGTGGCACAGTGGTTAGGACTCTCGCCGACCATGCACATGGTCCAGGGTTCGAACCCCTACCGACGCACACCCGATATCTATGGTCGGCCTGCAAAATTTGGGCTACCGACATCCATGCTGAAAATGCCATACTTGTACTGAAAATACGGTGTGGCATCAAGCTGTAATCAAAATAAAATAAAAATAAAATTCAATGAAAAACAATTACTGTAACTTCAGAAAATAAACAAAGACTATTAAATGAGGCTAAACGTGAAACTGTTTAGTTAACTAATTCTGCGTACGGCTTGGGCCAGTAAACACGGCGACCAGTTCGTTTAGATGGCGTGCTGTCGTTAGTGCTGCGTGACGAATCATTAGCAGGCTCAGAAGTTTTGTGAGTACCTGAGTCTAGTTTGGGCTTCGACTGCGATAAGCTTTCACACGTTAATGTAGAAGGCAGAGATTCATTATCTAAATTAACTATTTTAAGACGGTCTATTGTTACTGTATCTGTATGACCTACCCGGTCAATGACAAAAATCTTGTCTTTTCAGCTAATCACCTTGAATGGTCCGTCACAGGGAGCTTGGGGGGTTTCCACATGGCATCACAACTCACGAGAACATGTGTGCGGTCTTGCAGTCTCGGGTCAAGCATGTCTTTCTTGGTAGGAAAACGAATGGGTATGGTTCCAAGTGGCTCATGAAGCGTGTAAGATTCTGCGCGCAACTGTGGACATCAGAAGTATGGGGTTCAGTATCATCTGAGGGAATTGGTTCGGTAGGCAAACGGAGTAAAGTTCAATAAACCAGTTCTGTCGAGGTGCACAATATATGCAACTTAAGTGCGGAGCGGATGCTGAAGAGGGCAAGAGGGAGAGAATCTGCCCCTTTAACGTTATCCATAGCCACTACAGAGGCTTTAATTTGTCAATGAAAACATTCGACCAGGCCATTAGCAGATGGATGGTATGTCGCGGTTCGTATGTGTTTGCATCCCGCGTCCCAATAGCTCTAAAGGCTTCGTGGTAGTTACGGACTCAAATTGTTGCCCTCGATCGATTGTTACCGTAGAATGGCATCCAAACTGTGCAACCCATCTTTCGATGAAGACTCAGTAAATGGTCTCAGAGGCTAAGTTTGGTATAGGTACGACCTCTGACCAACGTGTGAATCAATCCACACGTGAGTATGTAAGATTGGCCGCAGGAAGAAGGCAACAGACCAACAATGTCCAGGTGAACGTGGCTAACGCGTGCGTTGGGTGTGGTGAATGTCTCAGTTGGACTGGCGCTATGCCTTTGCACTTTCGAGTGCTGACATTGTATGCAGGAACACGTCCGATTTCTAACATCACGGTTAATTCCTGACCAGGCAAAACGAGCTGAACTTAACTTGTCTGTAGCACGTATACCAGAATGTGATAGGTTATGCAGACATTCAACAACTGTTCAGGCGTAAAGATAAAGGAGCTACAGGCCTTGGTATGCCTGTGAACATGTCACACAGCTTGGTACCCTCTCTATGAGCCCGAGGCACACCCTCTATCTTCAGAGAAGTACAGAGCCTAAATTTGTCCTCAGCTAAATCTTCAGTTCCGCCATTTTCCACGGGTCACTGGTGGGATGAACCACAGTGGGGCAAATGCGAGACACTGCGTCTGCCACCGGATTATTTGCACCAAAGATATGATGGATGTACGACGTGAATCGTATGATGTGGTCTAAATGACGTAATTCACATGGTATGCACCTGTCCGTAGTCGCATGAAGAGCATACGTCAAAGGTTTATAGTCAGTGAAGACAATAAACTGGTGACCTTCGATGAAGTGGTGGAAGTATTTGACGGAAGCGTAGATGGCAGGTAATTCGCTACCAAACGTGCTATATCGCATTTCAGCCCCAGACAGCTCTATGGAATAGAAGGCAATAGGTGTCCATTAGTCGCTCATAAGTTGTTGAAAGACAGCTCAAACAGCCGTGTTTAAGGCATCGACGGAAATACTGATGGGAAGCCTTACATCCAGATGCACCAACGTAGATGCGCCTGTAATTGTCATCTTATTTTTTTAACGCTTCCAGAGACTCTGGTGTCATGATTAATGTTCTGCACTTACCTTTTAGTAGGTTTGTGGATTCAGTTAGAATATGTGCACACTGAGGAACAAACTGACGGTAATAACTTACCATACCTAGAAACGTGTGCAAAGATTTCAGGGTAGCTGGCACTGGTAGGTCTTGTGTGGCCTTCACCTTTTCAGGTAAAGTGCGAATGCCATGCTCATCAATTATGCATCCAAGAGAAGTCAGGGAGTGGGCATCAATCTAGCAAATGGCTAGACCGATTGTAATCAATGTTTCATAAGTCGGCTGAATACCTGTTGTAGATAGTTGCGACGAGCTTATCCATTTGGACTATCTATCGAAATGTCACCCAAGTAAGCATAGGCAAAGTCTAATCCACTCAGGACAACATGGATGGAACCCTGAAATCTCTGCGGGGCGTTGCGTAAGCCAAGGGGTATGCGAGGAAACTCGAAAAGACCAAAGGGAGTAATGATTACAGTCTTGAGAAGTTCATCAGGGTGAACAGGGATCTGATGATAGGCACGCGTCAGGTCAAGCTTACTTAATACAGACACGCCTTTCAAGGTCATGTTGGTGAGGAATCTTTAGCGATCTGGGACCATTTGAGCTTGGAGTTTCGGTTATCCCCACCAGGTTTCCAATCAATGCCACTGTTCTTAGGCACTAGATGATGGGTGAGGAACATGGGCTTTTGGATGATCTGATTATCCTCATCTCCAGCGTGTGTTCGAACTCAGACTGTACGGCCTGAAGTTTTCTGGAAATAACCGGCGTGTTATGGTGGCGAATTTTGGTGGACCAGCCATCGTGATGTGATAAGAGACATTGGAGGTAACACAAGGAACGACATGAATGGGTTTGAAAATATCCAGGAATAATAATAGGATCTGAAATGGTGGCTGAAGAAAACATTGCACTGAACGAAGGCGTATGTGTGACAATACCGGAGGCAGAGGGTCTTGTGGTAGAATCTATCAGCTTTCACTTATCAGCATTAACGAGTAGCTGTTAGTGTTGTAAAAGATTCATACCAGTAATGCCGGTGGTCACATTGGCCACAATGAAGATCCACTGGACGGAAAAGTCCAATGTCGAGGTCCAGGAATCTCCGGCCGTATATTGCGATGGGCGAACTTTTGACGGCACGGAGTTTAGGGATGTTAGCTGTAGCCACTCTTCTGTTATAGGTGCGATCACGTTAGCTTCTGCCCCAGTATCAACCAGGAAACGTATCACAGAGTAACGATCTGTAACATAGAAGTGGCGACAAGGAAGTGGTTCGCCGGCGACGTTAGTCGCCATCACGTGCGGGGTTACGCGTTTCCCGACTGCTTGGCGTCAAAGGTGAAGGGGCGAGCGCACTTTTGCGCATTGGCGCCATAACATCTGTGGTGTCAGCACAGTCCAGACTGGAAGTTTCGTGGCTATGGGTACATATTGCCAGAACGTGATAAGGACTTATTACGAGATAGGGTTGCTCGACTATGGGGGGTCTTTTAGCTTTCATCTCTTGCTCAATGATACGAAGGTTCTCGTAAAGCTTAGTGATATGAGCCACCGCCTCAAAACTCCATGAATTGCTGGTGGAAGGATCCTTTAACTGGGCAGGACCGTCAGATACTGCAGCCGAATTGCCCACGCTTGACTTAATTACCTCTACAACCCTGTCGGCTGCCTCTGCTAACTCTAATAAAAGAGAGTTGTGGAGTGGTGCTAAGATTCTCTGGAATGACTGAGGCAATCATTGAAGCCAAACCTGCTTAAGGAAGGTGTCATCAATCTCGAAATCAGCAACGAGCTGTTTCATTTACTTAAGTATCTGAATGGACTTACGATTGCTGAGGTGAACACGAATGAGAACTTGCCCTTTTTGTTGATCTGTCAATGCAACCGTCTTGAGATGATATATGTCGTATGGTATATCCGAACATATATCGAACCTAATTAGATGTGCTGTCACACACTGAGAACCCTTATTTCGAAAGAAAAGCAGACAGATTACGAGACCACAAGGGGAGTACGTCATTCAGGAAGAGTTTCATGAATATCATATACGGAGTAAATTTACTGCCTATATTTCTGTCACAAAAGTGACTGAGCAGCTGAACTACTATTAGTATTTGTTGTCCTAGATAATGATTTAGGTGCTAACCTGTTATACTTATTCCATTCCTCTGGAATCAACCAATTTAAGAGAATATCATTCCAACGTTCTGAAACCACGGTTCGTTTCCCTACTTATTTCAGTATACTCTGTTGATTCATTCATAGCGGTAATATAGCTCTGATGTAAATCAAATGGAAGGGATCATTATTGGTCTAAAGCCTACTTTGTGTAATAAAATGAAGTCAATGAAGTCCAGCGGGTGTTAAGTTGTTGGACATTGAGTGACCTAGCTAGGGGCGCTTCCAAGGTCACTGGTGTTTAGTGTTTCAGTCGCTGGATGGCATCCAGGACTCTAAGCTTATTCCAGAAAGGTGGAAGAGTCTTAAAGGGGTGCTCAATAAGTACCCTAAGGCTTGCAGTAGATGGGGATATTAAGCTTGCTAAACCTCCTCGTTTTGATTACTTTGCCAGAGGGGATAATGTACTGAGTGCGATTTTTGACAGGGCTGGAAATCGCTTTAACGATAACACCAAAGTAATACTTGTCGAAGGTAATATCGCCTCTGGAAAATCCAATGTCGCCGCTAAGTTGGCTGAACAATTTGGTATGGCATATTTTCCCGATCCGACAGAAGACGATATATATGTCAATAAAATGGTGGACCCACCCTTTGATTTCCGTTGCCATAACTGCTTACTTCCTGATTTCGCGAAATATTATACATGCGAAATGTTTTGGAATGAACCAGACCTGGTGAAAAATGGAAAAGGCTTGTTCCTCCAGTACCATTTCTACTTGAGACGTTACTGGAACTATTTGACAGCATTATGTCACTTATTCAATACAGGTAATTTTCTCCCTATATTCTTTTATCGTACAGGACAAGGAGTAGTTATTGATCGAGGTCCTTTCTCGGAGTTCGCATTCGCTGATGCCATGCATAAATGCAATTATCTCTCAGAGCGTGGTAAGTCTTCATTAGTATCATCTCGACGTCTTAGGACTACTTTGGTTCAAACAGAATCATGCATTGACTGTCCCAAATCTCTGGAAACCTCATATATTAGTTTATATTAAGGCTCCCATCTCGCAAATACGTGAACGGATAAAGAAACGTAATATTGTAAGTATTGAGTTATTTTCCCTCCACATTCGTTACTATTAACTTGTAGTATTAGTGTTTTGAATGTTCAGTCTTGTAACTTATAGGCCTTTGGAACTTTATCAAAATGAAATAACACACAACCAATCGGCAAGCTCAACACCAGTGTGTCATATTACTAGGTTTGACTAGTTTTTAGACCTTAATGACAATTTAAATATTGTTTTTATCAATGGCAGAATGGTTTTTGTGATACTGTATGACCTGATCCCAAATGGAATTTTAACGTTGGACTCTAATTATAAAAGTGCGTTCACGCTAAATAATTAACTTGCAGTGTACTCGTAGCTGTCTGTAACAGTGTTTGTAAAAATCTTTGAAATAGAAGGCAAGCTGGAGGTTTGCGTATAACAAGAACAAAAGTTTTGATTTACATATATCTTCAGGCGAGTTAGTTTTCTTTCTGGTACAAATTGACAGGGTTGTTGTACGTAAACTACCTAATAAATAGTATAATATTTCAGAAAATTCCTCTTATGTTCCAGAAAAAGTTGTTTTGATATTTGCTGTAGCGGCTATACAGACATTTATGATAAAAATCTGTCGTGTTCCTAGTGTCACATTAATCGTCGAAATACTAATCATTCATATCTTTCAGGGCACTGTAAATCATGTGAACTACTCTGCGAAACGTAGCCAGTTGGTTATTATCTCAGCTTCAAATATTACCATAAAGTTTGTTAAGAGTACTATATTTTGAACCAACTCTTGAAAATTAATAGCTATGTTATTAGCCTTTATACATATAAAGTTAATCTTCTCAATGACTGAGACATTTGTAAACAGGGAAGTTAATGTCAAAAAGAAAACAAAAAAAAACAAGTCGGTTACTGTTTAATTGGTGAAGTATCATAAGTATTGTTTTGGAATGAAGCACATTATTATTATTACTATTACATAAAGATATTGTTGAAACGATTTGTTCTCAGTGCTGAAAGTGATGTTGATATTCCTGTTACAGAAGAATACTTATTGTCATACATGGAGATGTTACTGAACACTTGCCACTTGGACGCCCATGCATTTAGCAGTGAGTCATATCTATTGCAAGGGGGTTAGTGTTATTACCCCGTGGTTACGCGAACCTCGGTACATAGAGCAGGGTTCGGGTCTGTGACGTAGTAGTAGTAGTGAACAGTCGCAGTTCTACCATTGCTTTGTGTATATATCGTGTGTATATCAAACCTAAATGATCACATGTTGCTGTATACAAATCTGTTTGATGAACTCTTTGTTTCTGTTTTTTTTTTTTTTTTGAAGCCGTGGGAAGTGAATGCACGCAATCTAACTGATGACTTTTTAAATGCTTACGAAGATATCCTTGGAAAGTATTATCTAGATCATATGAATCGTTATTGTTATGTACTCACAGTGGATGGTTCATCGACAAATGTTTATGACGACGACGACATTCGTATTGTAAGTTGTTTTTTTTTCTTTTTTGATGAATTATTATAACATTATTATTATTCCCTTGAGTTCTGAGTGGAACATAGGGCTTCAACAACACATCTCCACTTTGTCCTATTTTCTGCCGTCCTCTTCAGCTTAGACCATGGTTGCCCGAAATTTCTCATCTCCTCCTCATCATCGCCACACAATCTCCTCCATGTCACCCTCGTACCGACGACCCACTTGTCGCTTCCCATTGGGATTCCACTCGAGTGATGGCCTCGTGCGCGATGTCATTCGACGGTTTCCTCAATGGCGTATACCCGATCCATCTCCATTTGCTCCTACATATCCACTTGTTGAGCGATTGGCTCTTGCTTGTTGGTTCGTTACCAGTCGGAGTTTCTTGTTGCTAATTTCTTTCTGGCCAGCTGGCCATTTGATCTTCAGTAAGGAACCAGTGAAGGCAGCTGTTGATGATAGTCTGCAACAGGCTGTTGGAAATCCTTTTCGTGACACGCTGGCCAAGTTTCTGACCCGTATAGAAGGACCGACTTGACAATGGTGTTGAAAATGCGAATCTTGTTCCTTATGCTGAGTGTGGAATATTTCCAAATTGGTTTCAGATTGATGATGGCGTATCTTACCTTCCCGATTCTTGGCCTTGACACCCTCATCCGTTCCGCCTGTGGTTGAAACGATGCCTCCTAGCCAGATAAGTGAAGGGAGTAACCTCTGTCCTATCTCTCCCTTTGATGGTGATTGGTGCTAGTTTTTGTTGCTACTGCTGTTGGTTGGTTGGTTATCTTCATCACCTCCGTCTTCTCTATGTTCACCTGGAGTCCTGTCTTCTCTGCCAGCCTCTTCAGCCAGTTTTTTGGTTTCCACGTGTATGTTTTCGAGTTTGTGTGACATTAGATATATATCATCTGCGAAATCCAGATCTTCTAGAATCTGTTCATTGGTGGTCCAGCGTACTCCTGTCTCCTCACTCTCATGCACAGTCTGACTCATAATCCAGTCCACCACAATTAAGAATATCATCGGTGATAATAGGCAGCCAGCCTGTTTTGTCTTACTCCTGTATTCCCTTCGAAGCTTTCGCTGAGTTCCCCAGTTATGGATCACCTGACACGCGGCATTGTCATTAGCCAGCTGTTGAATGAGGTTGATAAAGACTTGAGGTACGCCGTGGTGTTGGAGTAGTTTCCAAATTACATCTCAGTCAGCACTGCTCTGTCGAAGGCCTTTTCAAAGTCGATGAAGTTGAGGTAGAAACAAGTTTGACTGCCATTCTATGCTTTGTTCTATGATGATGATGATGATGCGTAGAGTTGCAATTTGATTAGCACATGATATGCCTTTTCTGAATTCAGCTTGTTCCGGTGTGTGGCTGGCGGAGTTCTGTATCCAGTGCATCTTTTTTTTCATGAATAGCTGTGCATATCCTGCTTTCATATTCTTTGATAATTATCCTTGGTCAAACTAGACACAAATCAAATCCCTAAAAAAATTAATCTGATACTCACTAGTGACCACAAACTACCGGACGAATTTGACTGGAAGGAGCTCTAGTGAGAGAAGTTGTGACCAGTGGGGTTCAACAGGTAATCAGGAGTCGGGAGGAAAAGTACTCTCTGATGATGGCACTGGTTGTTGGTAAGACTGTATTCACGAGTCGGTAGAAGTTGGAATTTATGGACTAGCCATTGAGTAGGTTCTCAGTGGCTGATGAATGGTCTACGAGCTTGACTTGTAAGTGGAAGGTCCTGGGTTCGAAACCCCGGTGGTTGGTGCCTAATGCCGATAAGTCCCAATCTACTAGAGGACGAGACTGCCGACTGTCCAGTACGCCCTGGTGGTGGTTTTCAATGGTTCTCTAACTGATGTCATCGATCCGCGGTCAATCTTGAAGCAAGCCAAAATCGCTACAGACTCTTGATAAATAACTCGTTGAATTTAAGTGAGAGCAATCACAATGTCATATGTGTGTTTTGTTCTTGTTGGCTGAGTGCTGAGTGAATTCTATCACTCTTGTTTGCAATGTAGTTACCAAGCTAGATGATTCGCTATCGCAATCCAATTTGCATAAATGTTAGATGTTTCAAGATGAATCATGGATTGATGTCAGTTAGAAGAGAACCATTTGAGACCATCAAGGGGGGAGCATTGGACAGTCATTTCGTCCGATTGAAAAGACTCTCAACACCAATGCCAATTTAATACCGGAGTTGTGCTACAGTGTGGTTTGAACTCTTTTTGAACAATGTTTGCACACAGTTTCTTTTGTGAGTAGTTGGGTTATCACCACTGAACTATAACGACTTTGCAATTAAATCAACCAGTCAGCTCAGACAACACAGTTAATTGAGTATCACATCCACCTGAGCTACAAATATTCTCCATTATCATTTCGAAATATCGGCAGTATATGAGGGAAGTCAGAAAGTGGTGTGACTAACTTGTTATGATTATGAGTAGCAATAAATTCTGCTTGAGAATGTGGTCATCAGTAAATATTATTATTGTATAACACACACACTGTGAAACTTTATCAAAATAAATATTCCCCATAATGGAATCTAATGTTTCTCTTTGTTAACTTATTCTTTTTTTTCCCTCAATTTTCTATTTTCATTGTAGTCATTCTGAAACTAATAAAGAGTTAAGAGGTGAGAAAATAGACTACTTAGGTCAAGTTAAAAGGACACACTGAAGGTCAAAATAACAATGACAATTACTAAACCAAATGAGAGAGGGAATAGTACATCTCTAATCTGACTGGTATCAAAAAAAATTTACCAAGGAAGGTTTAGTGCGAAGACGAATTGGTCTCGATGAACACATAAAAGTGGTTTAAACTTTCTAACCGCTAGCTGAGGCTTCCACAAACTTTAGGATACTACCCAAACACGTTTCATTGATAGGTTTGAAAGATGTATAATATGTTTCTCACTGGAGGAGCTATGTTGTTGTCTGTTATCACCATAAATGGCTTCTGAAGTCAGCCCTTACTTGCAGAGATCGATGAGTCCTCCCTATGTATGTGTGTGTCCACACGTACATTGAAATAGGTAAATACAACAGTGGGATGTGACATCATTTTTCACATGTTCAAAGGGCTTAGATGGATTTTGTGGCCTCACATTCTCAATTATTATGATCTTACCTGCATAAAATGTCTTTTTAACTGCAGTATTCAGTCTCTGTCGAGTTACTAAATTGATATGATCACCCATGCGTAGGGTAGCTTGATATATACGCCTTTCTTAGGGGTGAGTTGGAGAATGGATCTTGGTGTTCCACTGACTACTTTATATCTCCTAATGAACTTGTCTGGATAATTGTTATCAACCAGAGTTTGTGTCAACTTTCTTTCTTAATCATCATCAAGTGTGTCTTCCGTGCATATTCAGTGGATTCTACTGAAGACGCACCTCACTGACTAAGGCTCTTTTGTATCGAACATAACAGAAACTGTGGTAATTGGAATACTGTCATGTCCAGGTAGGTTTTCTATGAAAAGGTTGATTTATTGATCCATCAAGGCGTCGACTAAGCAATATATTATCTAGGATAGATAAACACTTATCTTCGTCTTCTACAGACAGATGTAAGTGATATGCTATTCTGAACTTCATTCATCATTCGATTTGAAATTGAGGTGTCAGAATAAGGCTTATTCACTTATATGATTACAAGGTGATTAGAGAATTGGATTATTTGAGAAGTAATTTCCACAATATACATACGCACACACACGGGCGCACACTCACATTTCTGTTTTTTGTCTGTATATTTAGATTGCACAAAATGCTACAGAATTCGATTTGAGCGGTGATCATTTACTACGTGATAATTATAAAATACTCGAATGGAGAAGAGGTTTGAAATATGATCGAACTTTACGGGACTGTAGATCTGCGTAGGTGATTTGTTTTTATTATTATTATTATTATTATTATTATTATTATTATTATTATTATTATTATTAGCATTACTATTATACTTATTTTCTTAACTGAATGCCTATATATTACCCTAGTTATGCTGTCACAGCTCATTACAAGTTCAGCCGCTTTAATTCTGTGGAGAAAACACAACGATCACAATATTATATTAGTACCTAACCTTTAATGCGATGAAGAGGCATTAGTCATCACTCACTTGGATTTTTATGAAGGCGATGTGACACATTGGCTTAAACACTTCACTTATTGGGTTCTAGGTTCGAATCCCACTCTGTACTTATTTCAGCCTGGGAAAAACTAGATGGCATCATCAGACCTCACACATATACACACGTGCAATATGTGTATGCTTCATAACCTGGCCAACTTTGAAAACGCCTTCGATAGTAATGGCTGAGAAGTTAGTGCAGTGCCTAAATCTTTATCAACCTCATTTAACAGCTGGCTGGCTATATGGCAGCGACACGTGTCAGGTGATCCACAATTGGGAAACTCAGCGAGGCATTTGAAGTGAATACAGGAGTAAGACAAGATGACTGCCTGTTATCACCAATGATATTTCTAATTGTAGTGAACTGGATTATGCGTCATACACTGTGCACAGAGAGTGAGAAGACAGAAATACTCTGGACAGACCGATAAGAAGACTCTAGGAGAGCTGAAATTCGTGCGTGGATAATTTATGTTTAGTGTCAAACAAACTCGAAGACTTAGAGGCAGGCGAAATGAAAAAAAAAACTGACTGAAGAGGCTGGCGGCGAAGATAAGACTGCAGGTGATGAACATAGAGAAAGATGAAGGTGATGAAGATAACCAACGAACCAACCAACAGCAGCAACGACAACAACAACCAGCACCAATCACTACCAACGGGAGAAACTTGGAAGAAGTCGCTTCCTTTACTTATAAATAGGAGGCATCTGGAAATCTCCTGCACTCAGCACAAAAGAAAACAAGATTCGGATTTTCAACACGAATATTATTAGGTTAGTGTCATTGCTTCTCTATGGGTCAGAAACGTGGCTAGCGCGTTACGGAAAGCATTTCAAACAGCCAGCTGCAGACTTTTATCAACAGCTGCCACCTTTGCTTGCTGGCTGGCCGGCTCCATTTTGCAGATCAATTGGTCAGTAAGAACCAGCAGCAAGAAGAAAATATGGCATCAAACAAACCAAGAGTCGATTGCTCAAGAAATATGTAGGAAAAAATGGAGATGGATTGAGCGTAGACTGAGGAGACATAGCGCGCCAGGCTCTCCACTGTAATCCGAATGGAAAATGACGAGTTTGGCGTTAGTCCAAGATTGATATGAAGGAGGTCTTGCGAGGAGGAGATTGGAGATTATGGTCAATCGTGGAGCCAGCTCAAGAGGATAGCAGAAAATAGAACAAAGTCGAGATGTGTTTTTGAAGCTATGTGTTTCATTCGGAACCCAAGAGAACAATAATAATAATAAATAGCCTGGAATATGAAAAATCTGTTTCGGGTTAACGGAGTCTTATACTGCTTAATGATTAGGTGGAGTCTTGGCTTTGAACACGTAACCTAGTAGTAGTAGTTGGTTGTCGAGCGTCTAAATCAATGAGCTACAACTCCAAGCTTTTTGACGTGTAGATCATGCTATAAGTTGGAAAGTTGGATAAACCAAGGCTGTCGCAAGTCTTGTGTTCATATGTGGTGGAACTATAGAGATGCTAAGGTCAACTGTATAGCACTAGACAAATAAGGAAGGTCAGTCAGTCTATAGGAAGTTGTAAGCTGTCATTAATGTTGGTGTCTGTGACATATTGTTGAATCAGTTCTATATTCAACGATTAATATACCGGGATATCAGCCGCTAACTCTCATTGCGTAACGATTGGTGTGATACTACCCAGTCAGTTGTCCATGATGCCAGTAGACTGAGCAGGATTCAGGACACAGACCTACTGGTTTAAAGTTGAGCGGTTAAGTTTAATAGTCTACGTCTCCACTCATAGGCAATACTGACTTCTTATTGTCGGAGGATGTCTTACTGTGTATTTATTGAGCTTTGATTGGTTGTTTTCTCTGTTATTAGGAAAAATACAGGTTTGATCAGGAGTTGTGACATTAGTTAGAGAACCCCATTGGATATCCAGCTATTTCGTCCTAGTTTGGGACTCTTTAGCAATACGCACTCACTGGGTTTCCAACCCAAGACCTTCCAGTCATGAGGCAAACTCGAAGACTGTTCAGTCACTGGAACCCTATCCAATGACTAGACCATGAATTCCAGCTTCTTCCAATTCGCGATGCATATAGCACAACCGCCGGCCAATGTCTTGTCTGACTCGGCAGACCCCGCTAGGTCTCAGTGTTTGTTAATAGTCTACGAACTCGCCTCATAACCAGAAGGTCTTGGGTTCGAACCCCACTGTGGGGTGAATGTGTACTGCTCAAGAGTCCCATCAAGCTAGGACGAAGCAGCTAGCTAGCTGTCCACTACTCTCTACTGGTTTTTCCAATAGCGTTCTTTAACTGATTGTCACAACTCATGATCAAACCCCGTAATCAATAATCTAATCGTAATAAGCATACTCTTTTTGTTGCTTCTTTGTTCTAAAAAAACAATATGTCTATACATATCCAGTTTCTCAAATGCTTATTGGAAATTTACAAGTGTTTTTGACAAAGTGGAACAACCTATGGATCTATCTGAATTGGTGTATAGTTATGAAGCCCAAGAAATGCAAGGCACAGCCATTCAGCTGGTCAGTGTTTTTTTAAGTACTATTATTATTATTTATTCTACTATTCTATTTGAACTATTTTATTTCATTTTGTTCGCTTACTGAAATAATATGATGCATATTTTGCCCGCGAATCAGAACCTTCAAACATGAACGTATAGTGAAATGACGATCTAATCACCAGTTGGATTTCACGGTACCCCAAGTGTTGGTTTGGTGGTGGAGCACTGAAGGTCAATGGTTCAAATCCTATTGTGATCTAAATTTTCGTTTCATCGTCAATCATTACCCACTAGCTGACTAACTGAGTGGTTTCAATGTGAGAACTTTGCACAGATGTTCAGCAGTTCGAGTTGCCACATTCCCCCCATGTAGCATACAAAGCAAGAGAAGAGAGTGAATGCATTTGCACCAGCCATTGAGAAGGATTTTAAGCTATGTCTTCGATTGTTTTCAGTCGTCATTGGTTTTTTACCATCCCGAGGACCACAACCAGCCAGTCAGGAAGTCTACACCTCCCTACATGGCTGGCTAGCTGGTTTAAACTAACTGTTGTGAATTTCATTGACGAATGAAGCCGTGTTTTGGTTTGACCACCAACCACTCGCTCTTTCCAAACAACCTGATCCATCCTATATCAGCTAATATTCCGCTTCGAAGAAGATGGCTACCCATACATGTCCTAACGCTCTCTCTCAGTCGGCGTAACTTCACAACCCCTCCCTACCTAGCAATTGATCGAAGCCTAACCTCAATATTACTCACCCTATTATACCACTGAAGACAGGAGATAGAACGCAGACATCTATGATCAAAGATATCTAGCTCGCTAGCCTTTTCATATGTTCCTCACTGCCATAAAGGAGGAGGACGGAACGAACTGCTGAGCAGTACACACCTTCTTTGTTCGACAGAACCCCACTATATCAGCTATAGTCTGCCAACTCAAGAATAACCCTTATAGACTTCCTAATTCAATATGATTAAGAGATTGACTGAATATCTAATCGGGCAAACTACTGTGCTGTTGAACAGACAGTAATGTGATGGTTAGGAGAGTTTTGTATGCTTATGGAAGTGTGTAGGTGATTATTACTTCCCGGTTGCCCACACCTTGGAAGTCGATTTCTCCTTCTTCTCTGGGTACCTGAAACAGAAGGGATATTAGTGTGTTGTGTGTGTGGTCGCAGAGTCCAGAGGACGGCTGTTTGATTCTGGTCACATCACACAGGTGGCCTATTTGTGAAGTGGTTTTTTGGGTGTTGCATCTGTATAAAGATCGTATGACAGGCTATGGATAACCACAAAGTAAGTCGGAATGTACAATTTTTGAGGACAGCCTTTTCTGTCGCTCTCTAGGATGCGAAGAAGCAGTACAGTTATTTAGCTTACTGGTCATCTGAGGGAAACACGATACTGCTGTTAAGGCTTATTAAATATCAAGTGCAATGAAGAGTCGGCAGTGGTCAGTGATCCGGATTCGATTATCAGCCGACACATTCCTCCTAAACCTCGCTTGGCTGGTTGTATGCCTTGTTTAGAGAGAAGGTTGGACATGAGGTTACTAACCACCACTCCCCCCCCCCGCGTGCACACACACGCCTCGTGAAAGTCACAATCACCGCCACTGAAACTTGTAAACTCAAGCGGGAAGCTCAGTCTTCCACTTGGAACGCGGGGGAACGGAAAAAGGCAGCAAACAATGAAGGAGCGTATTCATTGATGTTTGTAGTCCCCTGTACATATAAGCCGAATATTATGTTGCTTTAGAGTGTGATGGCATCGATGTATATAATAAGTTACTGCATCCCAAGTAATCGATAGAGAGCGGTGGATAATTTATAACCGTTACCCATTACAAATAAACAGCGTGATCTCTTTCACTGTTGTTTAAAACTTAGTTACATTGAAAATGAATGCATGATGCCATATACTACTGATTATCTGATATAAGTAGTTGTGGATACCATTCATATTGATCAGTAAGTAGCGTTTGCTAGCCGGATCGAAGTGATCTCTAGACACTGGGTGGTGTCTGTTTTGCTCGTTTGCGACCGAGCTCAACAGCAGTGTACCCGGTTCAATTCAGCTCAGTTTAAATCTCACTCTCTCCGGCCGCCCCCTCCCCAGGTTTTTCATTCATCACACTGTGTTAACATGCAGTGCACAATTTTCAGCCTATTTAAGTTGCTAAATATCTACTCTACTCAAGTAAGCTGGTATTCGACTGTACATTGTATTTGTGTCCGTGTGTGTGTCATTGTCTTGTTCCATCCGAAGCAATATTCAAACTTCTAAGATGCTATTTCTTATATCTCACAGTTAAACCTAGAATAATTGACCCAGCTAAGTTGATAACATACAAATAACAGAGCTCACCCATTGCGCTGCATTGCATTCACTTGCATGTGATCACAAAATGTGGTGGGTGGGACAGGGTAAGAGTATTAAAAAATTGATATAGTTAGGTGGAGAGGAAGGTTATTCACTGAAGCTTTGTTTATCGATTCAATACCACACAACACATGCAATCGGAATGACGCGACGCAACGCAACACCTATACCGGAGATATGGAAAGTGACAACAAACAACAAAGGGAAGTTAGAGAGACAGAAAGAGAGGAAATATACATATATAATAAGACAAATTGTGAAAACGTGTCACTAAATTTGTCATGATTATGAGCAGCAATAATTTATGCTCGGAACCTTGTCGTCCAGTTGTTAATACTGTATAACTGTGAAATAAACATATAATATGGAATTACATTCTACCACCACAGTGCCTAATTTGTACACTTTCATTTGATCATATCTGTTGAGAAGTACTCTGTGTATTACAGCAAACGAAATCTGTGTGTGAGTTCATGTATTAATCCATAAACACAAAAGATGAAAGAAGAGTTTATGCAATATACCGGAAAGACTTTAATATTATATGAAGCAAATAGTCTTTGAAGTTTTTCAGCTGTCTCCATTCGATATGGAATGGCTATCGTCGATAGCAAAGGTGTTTCTATTTTCCCTTCTGCTCCTTTTTGTTGATAATATTATCTAGTAGCTTTTCGGATAACCATTTCCAATCAAAATCTGTTTTATATTGTATATCTCGTTCTCCATATCGTCATTATCTGTGACAATGTTTCTAGCTCTGTTAACGAGATTTAAAGCTACTGAAACTTTCATTCCTATTGGATGATCTGATTGAAAATTCAAATACTTGTTGGAATGTGTCTGCTTTCTGTATATTGTGAACTTTAGTTTCTCGTCAGTTTGTCTTTTTACAAGACAATCAAGAATGTTTATAGTTCCCTTAGCCGATTCTGCTTCATTAGTGAACTCTATATATTCTGAGATTAAACTAATCTATGTTAGAAAGTTTTCTTTTTCAGCTTTCTTAATGATGATAAATGTGTTATCTACGTATCTGTACCATATTCTAGGATGATAATTAAAACTTGTCAGTGCTAGAGCTTTCATATACAGATTTGCTACAATTGGAGATGCTGGTGATCCCATTGCAACTCCATTTGTCTTACAGTATAGTTTGTCTTTAAAGGTAAAATATGTAGATTCTGAACAAAGTTTTGAGCATTTTATAACGTCTTCTATTGATAATGAAGATTTAGCTAATGTTTCCCGATTGTGAAATGATAGAGAATATTTGTAGCTCATGTGGATGATTTGTAATTAGTAGTGTTCTCTGAGGTGGTTGGTTTAGTTGCCGAGCTTTCGTCGTCCTTCCGGACAAAATCATCAAAGACTACAAGAAAATTCATCCTACCATATGTATATAAAATATCTCTGAAATAACAGCTAGAATATTGAAACTGTTTGAAAAAGATATAGCACACAAGACAGTCCAATCGCCTAACTCGATATTGTGCAAACCAAAAGACCCATTCAACAGAAAAAGAAGATAAAATTAATACCATTTTGACAAAATAAATTGTATGAACTTTAACAGACATTACATCTGCCAAAGTGGGCGTCCCCTTCGAATCAGAATCCACGAACACAAATCAGCTGTGAAAAGACATGAAGTATATTCCTGTTTCATATCAATACATGTAGACAATTATTGACACCAATTCGATTGGGATAATATCGAAATTTCAAACAGAGGAAACACCAGACAGTAATGCCAGAGAGTTCCTAGAAGCCTGGTACTCAAGTAAATCAACCAGCGATTAACAAACATGTTAGCATAGACCGAATCTACCAACTAATAAAAAGTAAATCATCACCTGACAAGAAAGTTCAAATTCCAAGTCAATTAGGAATGATCAATACAGATATCATGAAGACGGTTACCAGGAGACACAATTCTATCACTCATGGAAAATTTAAATCAGTTCACTTTAAGCTAAAAATTGCGCTGAAAGGGGATGTTGTCCAGCAGAGATGGGGGGACGACGAAAGCTCCGCAACTGAACCAACCAGCTCAGAGAATACTACAAATTGCAAAGATCACTAACCTTAAGTGTATTGCCGCCGTTCCCATTCAACCAAAAAAGGTGAAGGTGGGGGGAAACAGCTTACATGCGAAATATCAAAATTTCTTGTTTATAAATTATTTGATTGCATGAGGGGTTTCATCATGAGCTGCAATCAGTTAGGGTACCACTGGAAAACCTGGGAGAACTGGACAGCTGTTTCGTCCTATTTTGGGACTCTTCATCAGCACGCGCCCGCTGTGGTTTGAACCCAGGACCTTCTGGTTACAAGGTTAGCTCGTAGATCATTAAGCCACTGGGACCCGATCCAACGGTCCTTGAATTCGAGTCTCAGTGGCTTAATGGTTTACGAGCTCGCTTGCCTTGTATCTAAAAGGTCCTGGGTTCAAACCACTGTGGGTGTGTACTGATGGAGAGTCGCAAACTAGGACGAAACAGCTGTCCAGTACTCCCAGGTTTCCAGTGGTTCTCTAACTGATGTCAGCTCATTATAAAATCCTCCATGCAATCAAACAAATTCTATACAAAACCAATACCTATAAATTATTCACCAACTTTTTTGAAATTTGGATTCAATAGATTTTAATATTCAGAGATCTTGTTTATTTTATTTTCTCTCTCTCTCTCTTTATTTACAGGATCCACGTACCACTTTTGTACCAGAGTTCAATCCCAAGTATAAGAGTTTAATGTCAATTCTGTTCAATCCATGGATTCGTGCACGAAATTTTAGATCTGATCTGCCTAAGAACTACATATGGAATTAAACAATTGCCTTCTCGTCATTATCAACATCGTCAAAATGGAAGGATGAATTAAAAAAGCTTAGATATGGGCGATCAGAGTTATTACAATTCGTCATCAGCTCACTGAAAGACAACCTCGTTACCAATTCTTCTTCTTCTTCATTCTCTTCACCATCGCCTTCTTCTTTGCCTTCTTTCTTCTTGTAGATGAATCCAGTTATATAAGATGGATTGATTGCCTAGCTGGTGACAAATGCACTCTTGTTCTCTCTCTCTTGATCGATTAGTAACACTTTCTGATGTGAAAATGCTCATTGTGTGTGTATAGATGCTACCTTTTCGTTCTCTTCTAGTTGAGGTATTTTAACAGGGGTTTTGTTTGGATTGGATCAGTTTCTTGTGTTGTGTATATCTGCGTAGAATTTCTTTTAGTTATTTTATGTTACTTATGAGTAGGATGTAATTATAAACATAATTCTTTTGTGTGATACTACTAGTTCCCTATTTATGAATTTTGTTAGACAAAGCAATAAGAAGACGTAATTTGTCTGAATCGTGTATTGTATGTATTTGGGCGCATAACGCATTTCGAACAATCAGATCACACTCCACTTACTTGTCATAGAAATATATGTATGAAATTAATAAAGAGTTTAGAGGTGGGAAAATAGACTACTTAGGTCAAGTTAAAAGGACATATTGAAGGTAAAAATAAGAATGACGATTACTAAACCAAATAAGAGAGGGATTAGTACATCTACCCTGACTGGTATCAAAACAAAATTTGCCAAGGAAGGTTTAGTGTGATGACGAATTGTTTCTTTGATCGCATAAATATGATTTTAACTTCCTAATTGCCGGCTAGGGCTTCCACAAACTTTAGGATACTCCCGAAACACGTTTTATTGATAGGTATGAAAGATATATAATATTTTTCGCAATAGAGGAGCTATGTTGTTGTCTGTTCTCACCATAAATGGGTTCTGGGGATTCTATTTGCTTCTGAAGTCAGCTCTTACTTGCAGAGATCGATGAGTCCTCCTTATGTACGTATGGCCACATTCAAATTGGTAAATACAGTGGGATGTGGCATCATTTTTCGTATGTTCAAAGGGCTTATATGGTTGGATATATTGGCTTCACATTCTCAATTATTATTATATTAGCTGCATAAAATGTCTTTTTAACCGCAGCAGCGTTCAACCTTTGTCTAGTTGTCAAGCTGCTATGATGCTCCATATAGGCTAGCTTGATGTACACGGCTTTCTTAGGGGCTAGTTGGAGAATGGGTCTTGATGTTCCACTGACTACTTTATATCTCCTGAGGAACTTGTCTGGATAATTGTTATCAACCAGAGTTTGTGTCAACTTTCTTTCTTCTTCATCAAGTGTGTCTTCAGTGTATATTCATTGGATTCTACAGAAGAGGCACCTCACTGACTAAGGCTCTTTTGTACCGAACAAGGCGGGGACTGTGATTGTTGAGGTCCTGTCCTGTCCAGGTAGGTTTTTTATATAAGTAGATCCTTGTTTTATTGATCAGGTCATCGACTAAGCAAAATATCCAGGAAAGATAAACACTTATCTTCCTCTTCTATAGACGGATGTAAGTGATATGCTATTCTGAACTTCATTCATCATTCGATTTGAAATTGAGGTGGCAGAACAAGGCTTATCACTTATGATAACAATGTCTTCGACATATCTTCCATAAAGTGACACATTTCCGATTAAATCCTCTGATAAACTCTCAATGCACGACATATAGATATCTGCTGGAATGGGCCCAAACAGACTTCCCATAGCAACTCCATCAACTTGGCGGAAACATTCGCTTTGAAATGTAAACCCAACATTGCTAGTACATAGAAGTAATAAATCCCTTAAATAAGAAATAGGTAACGGGATGAAAAAAACTGAAGATTAAAACAATCAATCCCTTTGATAAATTTGAATAAGGCATTTAGAGGACATATTTCGCCAGATGATATCATCATTTCGTAGTTTATTTACAATCGCTGTACAACTAACATGGACGGTTCACAATAACAAAATGCATGACAATTACTCAGTTATATAAATAAAACAAAAGTACATACTAATGACCAATCATAGTTAAATACGTCAAGTATTCAATTCACGGTAGGTGAAGATTGAGGTCTACTGCTGTTTTTTGTACACGTAGTTAACGATGCACGTGATTGGCGAAGTTCGGCAATAACGTCCCAAGGGATGCGAACGCACGAGTGACCTTCAGTCGACCAATTATAAATGAGGAATTTTTGCACAAAAAATGACGTATATTTACAAAAAAATCTATGAAAACATATTAAACAGTGTATCTTTCTCTGACATGATTTAAAAATATTTCCCAGTTATAATGAGGAGTATCAACTGCCAAGTTATGCTAGTTCCTGTTCTTGTATTCACCAAGGTGACTAAAGATGAGCTGTTTTTGTGAATCTTTTATCTCTCTTATCCTTTTGTACAGTCCTCTCCAAAGCCCTCGGATCGACGACTACTTACCAGGAAAATGTGGATGATAAAACAAATTAAAATAAATGACATCAACTATAAATCTATCCCTAATCGTAACCTCAGCCTTAATCCTGACCCTAACATTAAACCTAATCTTAACCTTTATCCAAACCGTAATTCTAACCCTAATGCTAATTATAACCCTGATCCTAACCCAATATTTACCTTAACCCGAACCCAAACGAGCTATTAATACATTGTCGAAACAGTACTTAAAAATGTGATATGAGTGAAATTTGCTGCTTAGTTGGGGGAATAGTGTTGATGTTACAGCTATGATAATTATAGGTGCCGTCAGCCAACGACTAGCATGCGTTCAAGGTCATTGGAGCGTTCGCACACTCCTGAGAGGCTATTGTTGAACTTCGCCACGTGATTAATCCAGATTGCTTCCATATCTTTCAATAACCTTGAATTAGAATTATGTGAAGGGTAACCAGATTATGCAGTTTTGATAGCTCAAAGACTTCAGTCAGCCATCAAACGGACATTCTACGCCGCATCTCTTTCCCTCACATGCCAAACACCTTTGATCCCTGTACCTACCTACGATTAAAGGACGCAATTCTATGGACTCTACTTCAAACTGCATCGACAAGTTCACCTGCAGTTGTTGCGGTGACACTTATATAGGTAGAACCAATAGAATGTTCCAATGTGGTCATCGAAAAGAACATATTCCAAAATGGCTATTAAGAAAAATTGAAAATCCCAATGCAATTATTAATCTGAATAGAAATCCCAGCATCATCCATTGCAAAGCACTTATTAATAGCAGGTCACGAAATCAATATTAATGACTGTTTCACAATTATTTCATCGTATAACTCTAATTCAGGGTAGGTTATTAAAGGTGATGGAAGCACTTTGAGGATTAATCACAAACAGCCTAAACTGTCTGTACAGAAAACACAATAGACTTCAAACATGAACTGACTACTTGACCTATCTAAATATGATTGATCATTAGTATGTACTTCTTTTGTTTTATTTATATAACTAAGTAATCGTCATGCATTCTATTTCATTTTATTATTGTGAACCGACCATGTTAGTTGTAAAGCGATTGTAAAGAAACTACGAAATGATGATATCTCACGAAATTTATCTCCTTAGTCAAATTATTTGAAGAATTAAAAAGACGTGATTGCAACAACAAACTCCTCAACTAGGCTGTACATTCGTGTGTTTGCAAGGGATGGGGGTCAATTTATAGCAAATTACAAGATGGTAAATAAGGATTTAAAACGTCATAATAATGATATTAATAAACAGGAAGTTCGGATAAGACACGTAACTGAATAATAGTTATTGAGAAAATTGATTTTTTTTATAAAGACTGAATGTACTTCTTTTGAATAGATCATAGCTATGCACTGGTGTTTTGATCTCACTCTGTTTGAGAGGTTTAATTTGATCTTGTATGTAGGGATTTGTAGGACTTTTCAAATAGAGCTGAGTAATAGTTCATCAGATCTCCTGTCAGCGAGCTATATGCGCACACACCTACGTTCTCCCTTTATTAACCAAGCGGAATAGAGTGCGTTTTACAACTGGACGCCCTGATACAGTCAGTCAGTGTACTCAGGAGAGAAGAAACAAGTGAACTGGTGTATACATGTTGATGTAATGCAATGTGACAGCTTGTAGCTTTCACGTGCTGGTTGAATAGTTTCAAGAAAATATGGCTGTGAGACCTGGCCATTGAGAGTAGAAAGACATGAAAAGACTATCTGTCTTTGATCATAGGTGCCTGCGTTCTGTCTCCCGTGTTAAGTGCTGGTTTTAATAGGGTGAGCAAAATTGAGAATAGGCGTCGAGTGCTAGGTAGGTGAGAGGGGAAATCGATCGATGAGGCTGTGAAGCTACGTCGACTGAAATGGTTAAGACATATGTCATCGCCTTCCTCGACGATCAATGTTAGCTGATATAGGGTCAGACTAGAAAAGAGCTAGCGGCGGTCAAAACAAAATATGGCTTCTTCAGTCAATGGAACACATGATAGTTAGTTTAGGTCAGCCACGTAGGAAGGTGTAGAGTTCCTGATTGGTTTGGGTCCTCGGGATGGTAAAAACCAATGGAGGCTGGAGACAATTATCGGTGATATGGCTCAAAATCTTTCTCAGTGATGGCTGGCACAGATGCATTCACTCCTTGTAACTTATGATACCCAGTGAAACTATATTGTTCTTCGTTATTACTATTCCTTTTGTCTCATATCCCTGTCTACTGTCTGTATTATGCATTTCTTCTCTTGTTTTGTGTGCTACATGGAGGGAGTGCGGCGAAGACAAGCTAACACAAATGCTAAAGAAGATGAAGAACGAGTCGATTATCAGCTCTGAATTATTCGAGCAAATACGACCCTCCGGTTCCGTGATTCCCCGTTTATATGGTCTGCCGAAAGTGCACAAAGAGAACGTGCCACTACGTCCAATCTTGGACATGATAAATTCTCCATATCATGCTACTGCCAAATGGCTCATAGATATCCTCCTACTTATCAGAAACAACCTCTGCAAGCATAGTGTTTCTGATTCGTTTGAATTCGTCGACTCAATAAAATGATATCCATGGATGTCACTTCGCTTTTCACCAACGTTCCCCTCACTGAAACTATCTGCTTTATATGCAAATTCATTGAGGATAATAACGTAGACGTATGTGTTCCGATCCACTACTTAAAGGAACTACTATTGAGGTGCACTCTAAATGTTCAGTTCAAGTTCAACAATACGATTTATAGACAAAGAGATGGAGTGGCAATGGGGTCACCATTGGGTCCTTTACTTGCAGACTGCTTCTTGGCCAGTTTGGAGAATAATATTTTACGGCCTACTATCGACAGCTTCCATCTGTACCAAAGATACATGGATGATACTTTCATCATATGTGACGACAATACCGACATCGAATTGATAACTAATGAGTTCAACAGCTGCCATCATGCCATCAAGTTCACGTCGGAATCAGAGAATAACTCGGAATTCCATTTTTTGGATGTCTTTCTAAAGAGCAGATCGGATGGTTCTCTTCAAAGATCGATCTACAGGAAACCAACATGGAATGGTCAGTACACAAATTTCCA